GTCAGCTGTCAGCTGCGCTGTGACGTGATGGGCCATGGCATCAGCATTTTCATTCTGACAGACCCTTAAGAAAAACTTTAAGAAAGAGAAAGCAATGAAATCTGTGGGACAGACCCTTAAGAAAAACTTTAAGAAAGAGAAAGCAATGGAAATCTGTGGAGTAAAACAGTAATTCAAGCAGCTGCTGCACGTTGCTCCCACTCCAAGTCTCTTCACTCTTCTCCTCTTTAATTTGCTGAATGACTGGGAAGTGTTTTGTCTCCAGCCAGTACAGTACCGAGGATTTCCAGCTGAAGTCAGCTTCCTGCCTGGCTGCAGAGGTAGAGGTCTGAGCAGGATAGGGTCCCCAAGCCATGGAGCTGTGAGAAGCCCCTCGTGCCTTGTCTGCCCCAGGGCTGTGGAGGCACCATGCCCCCGAGCCCTGCCTGGCCTCTCTCCTAACTCCTTCTGCTCCCCAGATGACAGCCTATGGTGCTTTCCTGCACAAAGGCTCCTTCTGCAGGAACTCTTTCAATATCCTCGACTTGCTGGTGGTTGCTGTCTCCCTCATCTCCATGGGAATCGAGTAAGCACCTCCACGCTTCGCGGGGTTGGCACTGGTCTGTTTAGCCTGGCAGGGCAGCTGGGGTGCTGCAGCTCTCTGTGCTGGATGGAGAGGGAGCAGACAGCCCAAGGGCTGGGCGTTAGCCCATGTGTTAGTATCCATAAAGTCATGCTCAGGGACACAGGGCATGGACACCTGGGAGGCAGGGAGGCAAACTCCTTGAGTGTCAAAGGTGAAGATCTGGGTAGGAATTCAATTTGGAGCTGCTTTCTCCAGCTGCCAGTGTCCCTTAGCCTTATGTGGGGTGATGGCTTAGTGACGTCCGCCTGTCTCTGCCATCCCTTGCCCCTCACCCATGGTTCCAGCCTGGCCTCCATGGTTACTTGGTGGGGCTGTGCCAGGCTGGCCTGGGCAGGGGAATCGCCCCATCTCAGCTCTGCCTTCCTCCTCAGGTCCAGTGCCATCTCAGTGGTGAAGATCCTCCGGGTGCTGAGGGTGCTGAGGCCTCTGCGAGCCATAAACAGGGCAAAGGGACTGAAGGTAAGAGGGAGGCTGGGGCTAGGGGTCCTTTAAAGTACTCCCGGCCCACGGGAGTCCTCACGGGAGGTTATGTGGCAGGCATCATGCCCTGTGGGGTTTGCGGGGCCAGGAACCCAATTCCCACTCCCCGCCTGTGGAAGGGGTCTGTCCCATCCCACTGCTCTCGGCAGGCTCCTGCTCTTCCTGGAGCCCATCCCTGCAGTGAGAGGGTGTGGGACACGCAGCAGGGGCTTGCCCCAGGCATGCTCACATGTACACTGTCCTCAACCTCCACAGCATGTGGTCCAGTGCGTGTTCGTGGCCCTCAAGACTATCGGTAACATTGTGGTCGTCACGACATTGCTGCAGTTCATGTTTGCCTGCATCGGGGTCCAGCTCTTCAAGGTGAGAGGTGTCTCAGAGGGGCAGGAGAGACGTTCTGCTCAGGCACATCCTGGACAGGCTCTTCTAGTCATAGCCCTTGGGGATGGTGTCTCCCAGTGTTGAGGTCAGCACAGACCGTACTGTCTGTGCTCTGCCAGAAGACCTGCCTGCACCAGACTTCCCAGCAGAAGGGCTTGCAGTGGGAGGCGGGCAGGAAACACCCAGGATACTGTCAGGTCCAGACAGCACATGTAAAGGGACCAGCTGCCTCGCCCCACTTAGTGCCTCAGTTTCCCCTTTCTAAGGCGGCAAGTGCTTCTGACTTCCTCTGCGCTTTGGATGCAAAGTGTTTCCTTTTTCACAGCACCACTCTTGCTCTCTGGGCCTTGGCTACTCCAAGGCAGAGCTGGCCCTGGCTGAGCTCAGCTTTGTTCTAATAATTGAGCTTAAATTCCCAGCCGATGTGGGGAGACACCCTGCAGCCTGAGCAGACCTGTCAGCATACCTTAACTTTTAGTTAATTCTGTGGTTACTGCTTCCTTCCCTATTTTCCAAATAGTTGGCTCCCAGATAGGACGAGCTAGATGATAGGTCTCAGCTCAGGGCCCTGGACGATTTGTTCCCATCACTAGGCAATGTTTACTTGTCTCAGCCTGGGATTGACCCCAGGGTCTGCCATGGCTCCTGAAACACCCTGTGAACTGAGTTGTGTTGGCATGCAGAGTGGGGAAGCCAGCGGTGGTGTGAGGCAGGGGCCAGAGTCAGCACGGAGGGGGGGGTAGGGACTGACTGTGGGCTGTGAAAAAGTCAAGGCTCCCCGTGGCTCCTGAAGTCACAGCAAAATCAGAGCCTCTTCTGATCTCTGTTAAATTCAGGGCAAGTTCTATAGATGCACAGATCCATCCAAGATGACGGAGAAGGAGTGCAGGTAAGAGCTCTCTGCAGCTCAGCCCCAGCAGGGCAGTGGCCAGGGATGGGAGGGGTGTGTGTGGCGGGGGCCACTTGTGTTCCTGCATGGGGATGTTGCATCCAAAAAAGTGGGGTCTTGTGCTGTTCTCCCTCACCCTGGGGTAAATCAGAAACAAGCACAGGGCTCTCCTCCCCTCCCAGGGACCAAAGAGCCCTGGGCCAGCGCTGCAGTGGGTGGGCTGAAGGGGGCCCTGCCCGGTGAGCACCACATCCCTTCTGCTGCAGGGGTTATTTCATCAACTACGTGGACGGGGACCCCACACAGATTGAGCTACAGGAGCGTGTCTGGTTGCACAGCAACTTCCACTTCGACAACGTCTTCTCAGCCATGATGTCACTTTTCACTGTCTCCACCTTCGAAGGCTGGCCGGAGTGAGTCTGGCTGTGCGCGGGGCCTGCCAAGGGATGGGTCTGTGCTGGGAGCAGGTCACTGCCACAGGCCTTTACCGTGGTAAAGAAAGAAGAGCTGCCCAGGCTGAGGAGCAGGGCTAGCCATCCTGGCAGTGGCTGTGGAGCTGACAAGGTCATCCCAGCAGCTCTGTCCCACCGTTGTTGGATTTGGGATGTCCTCAGAGCTCTCCGTAACCTTCAAGAGGAGAGATGGTCTTTCCCACCTAATTAGGATCTCTGTTGCCTCGCTTTCCCTCCTGTAGGCTGCTATACATGGCCATTGACACTAATGCTGAGGATGCAGGCCCTACCTACAACTACCGGGTGGAGATTGCAATGTTCTTCATCATCTACATCATCCTCATTGCCTTCTTCATGATGAATATCTTTGTGGGCTTTGTCATTGTCACCTTCCAGGAGCAGGGGGAGAGCGAGTACAAGAACTGTGAGCTGGACAAGAACCAGGTAATGGGACTGCTGGGACAGGGCAAGGTGGACCAGCCCTTGATCTGGCACTGCTGGGGCTGGCTGATTTGGATCAGCCCTTAGTGGTGGCACTGCTGGCGCACATGAGTTGAACCTGCCCCAGGTCTGTTTGCTGCTAGGGCAGGGTCAGCTGGACCCATGCCTGGCACAACGCAAGCCTGGCAAGGGAAGGGTAGAGTGGACCAGAACCAGGGAGTGGGCCTTCTAGTCCAGGTAGGGTGCCCAGACTGAGCTGGAGCAGGGGGTTGTGCCCAGTTCTGGGCTCACCAATACAAAAGCGACATGGACGTACTGGAGTGAGTCCAGCAAAGGGCCACTGAGATGATTGAAGGTCTGGAGCATCTGTCATATAAGGAGAGGCTGAGAAGCTGAGTCTGGTGTTGAGAAGAGAAGGCTCACAGGGATCTTACCTATGTGTATAAATACCTAATGGGAGGGTGTAAAGAAGATGGAGCCAGGCTCTTTTCAGTTGTGCCCAGTTACAGGACAAAACGCAATGGGCACAAACTGAAGAAAACAAGAAATTCCATTTAAACATTAAAAAAAACCGCTTTTTTATGGTGAGGGTGGTCAAGCACTGGAACAGGTTGCCCAGAGAGGTTGTGAAGTCTCCATCTTTGGAGGTATTCAAAACCCAACTGGACACGGTCCTGGGCAACGTGCTCTAGCTGGCCCTGCTTTGGGCAGGGAACTTTGACTAGACCATCTCCAGAGGCACCTTCCACTGCCAGCCCTTCTGTGATGCTGTCATGCTGTGATTCTGGCTGGGGACATCAAGGTTGAAAGCAGCAGAAGCAAGACCGGCATTGGCAGAGGACATGACACACACTGGGGAAGACAGCTAGATGGGGATGCCTGCTGGCCCAGAGGAGGTGCTGGCATGCTCATGTGCTGAGCAAGCCTGCAGATGCAGCACGGGCACCTTGAGCTGAGGGTGCTGGGAGTGATGTGAGCTGCACATGAACCCAGCAGAGATGGCCCTGGCCTGCTGGGGAGGGAAGGGCCTGCTCAGCACCTCTCAGGTTCAGAGAGAAAACTCAGTGCCCCCTTCACCCCTGGTTCATGTGATGTCTTCAGGCTGCTCTTGGCCAGTCCTGAGAGACCCTGGGAAAGTGCCGTGATAACCAGGCAGGCTCAGACTGGAGGGGTTGGTACAAGGGCAAGCATGGCAACCTTTGGAGGCAAGCAGTGGCTTTGAAAACTTTGTCCCATATGGGTGCTCTGGGGGTGTATTTGCAGAAAGCACAGCAGATACTTGAACCATCACTGTCCCTGGCCCATGTCACTGGGCTGAGAGAGAAGGGGGAGATCCAACTTGTGTCTGTGGGGACGTGCAGTGTTGCCGGTGGTGCTGACTCTGTGCCTGTGCCCCTGGCACTGCCCTGTGCCTCGCTGTGGGATCACACCTGCCCTCCCCTCCCCAGCGCCAGTGTGTGCAGTATGCACTGAAGGCTCGTCCGCTGCGGCGCTACATCCCCAAGAACCCCTACCAGTACCAGATCTGGTATGTGGTCACCTCCTCCTACTTTGAGTACCTCATGTTCTTCCTGATCCTGCTGAACACAATCTGCCTGGGCATGCAGGTAAGGGGCACAGTGCCCACCTCGGGTGGTGGAGGGGTGTCTGTGGTGGCGGATGGGCTAGCTCAGCCCTGCCATCTCCAGGAGAGCTTCTGGGGAGAAGGTCTTTCCTACACAGCAAAGTTCATGGTGTGTGCTCAGCACCTCTGGGGATAGGGGCAAAGTGGGACTGGTTGGATGAGGGGAGCCCAGAGAAGGGGCTGCAGGGGGGAAATTTCCTTTTTGCTGACCATTGCTGGGCCATAGGTCTGTGGGAGGTGGGGTCTGCATCCAGCACACACCTCTGAGCTCACAACGGAGGCTGGACCTGCCATGGGCTAACATGGATTCTTCTGCCTTCTCCTCAGCATTACAACCAGTCTGCAGAAATGAACCACATCTCAGACATCCTCAACGTGGCCTTCACCATCCTCTTCACCCTGGAGATGATCCTCAAGCTCATGGCCTTTAAAGCCAAGGTGAGGAGGGCATGGTCCAGAGAGCAGGAGAGGGCCTCAGGCCAGGCCGGGGGGTCCATTTACCCTGCATTTGGCATTTCTCCACTACAAGCACCCCCAGGCCTGCAACTCCAGAGAACTTCTCCTTGTAAGACCCTTGGGGACCCCCATGTGCAGGACCTGTGAGTTTCTGGGAGGACTACTGTTTGTCAGGGCTATCCTTGCTAGCTAAATCCAACCCAATCCAGCCAGCCATTGTTCCCATCTTCAGGGTCATCTGTCACTGGTGGGGTCATAGCTCTAGCCACCTCAATCCACCCTCCTCATTTCACACCATTGCAAGACAGGACCAAACAATTGACCAGAGGGTACAAGGTCTGACCACCATCCCTTCTTCTGGCTCTCCCTGAAGTGCCAGAGGTCACTGGTGATCCTTCTGGCACTCCTTCCTCTGGGCTCCAGCATCTCTCTCCTCCTTGGCTTAAGCCTTGGATGTTCACTCCTGTTCTCTGGCTCTTCCCTGGCAGGGCTACTTTGGGGACCCCTGGAACGTCTTTGACTTCCTTATAGTGATTGGCAGCATCATTGACGTCATCCTCAGCGAGATTGACGTAAGTGTCAGGCTGCTCGGGCACGAGAGTGTCCCTGCAGAGCACCACTGCCAGCACCCACCTGAGGCTGTGCCGCAGCCCCTGCCCTGGGGCGAGACAGGGGTGCTGGTGTGGTGTCCAACTCTGCAGAGTGTTGGTGTCCTCTCCTCTCCCCCTGCTCTGCTTGGTTCTGAGGAGGGACAAGCCAGGATCAGCCCGCGGCATGAGTGTGTGGAGATCACAGCCGTGGCCCTGTGGATCTTAAAGCACTGTTTAAACATAGGGGACCATCCCCAGCCAGCCAACATGTCACACTGCCCCCTCCCCTCCCTTCCCCTGAATCTGTAGGCACTGGGATCCTATGGAAAACAGTCTACTCCCTCAGGACTGGACCACGAGGAGCAGGACACATGCCAGCCCCTGCCCCACTCATCCTGCCTGTCTTCCCCGTGCGCACACCTGGACAGGCAGTCACCCACACATCCAGCCTCAGATCAGTGCAGGTGGGAAGAAAAAGGGTTCCCACAGCTCCCTGTACCCACAGGACACTGCTGGGCCATGCCAGGGGAGGATCAGACACATCAGATTTCAAGGCATTTGCTTTGCGTTTGTCCCTCTATACAGAGATCCATACGTATACACATACTGACTGTATATATGTGTATACTCTATACACTATTTCAGAAGCTCGACACCATATAAACTGTGTGGCTGGGTGGCTGCAGGCAGTGGCTGTATGGTAAGCGCTCTGCTGGGAGCATTTTCAGAGCAGTGCTAGGAAGCCAGCGCACCACTGCCTTTCATGGCACTGGGACATCCACACCCTGTGTCTAGCACTGAAAATGCCCCTCTGCACCCGGAGGTCATGTGCTGCATTTAGCAGATGTGATGGTAACTCTAGAAGCAGCTGTAGGATTGGGTAGATTATAGATTAACCCTCTCTAGTGACTTCGCATGCCATCTCCTCTTGGGAGCAGGGCTTGCCAGCTCCAGTGCACCGCAGGACTGTGTCTGGCAGAGCTGCTGCCACTGCCACCCTTGCACAGGGTGACCTTTAGCCATCTTCTGTGCTGGGGAGGAGAGGATGTTCAGGGGCCCTTAGTGGCGGTCACCTTCTTCTCTGGAGGGTGGTCCAGGCCTCAAAGATCTGGGATGAGCAAAACCATCCACCTTACTCCCCTGTGACAGCAACATGCTCCCCCCTGCACAGCCCTGCACATTGATACTGCCATCCTCTAGCCTCTGGGCTTCTCAGCCTTGATGAGCTCCCAGCTTTTCCATCTGTCACCAGGTCCTCCAGGACCCCATCCTTGGACCCTCAGCTCTCTGCACCTGTGACCTGGTTTCCCATTGCCTGTAGGGTATCATTTCCTAGTGTGCTACCTCCTTCCCCATCCTGTTGTCACTCAGAAATGAAGTTCAAAGGGTGCTCAAGGACCTGTACTGGGCAGAGATTTTCAGTCCCTGTGGGGCGAGAGAGCGGGTCAGTTAGCACAGATGCCAAGGTACTGCTGTGCTCGGCCATGGGTCTGTGGGGATGACCAGGGACACAGGTCACAGGCACCTGGAGGAGTCCAGTGCCCTGGCTGGGCTCGCAGGGACTGACCCAGATACTGTGGTCTGTGTGCCACAATGCCATTGGCAGTGGCAGGGCTGTGCAGAAGGCCAGGCAGGATTTCAAGAATGGTCCTATATGGTCTGACCTTCCCTGGTCTTCTCCCCCAGGTCTGGGTGCTGGGGCACTAAGAGCACTGGTCTCCCCCTCCCAGTCCCCCAAGCTCTTCAGGGACCTCCGTCACAGGCAGTCCTGCTCTGGCAGGTCTCATGCCCCAATGACCATCTAGGTCCCCTCCTGAGAGCAGAGCCCCTCACAGCTGCCCCACCCTTCCTCCACGTGCTTTCTTCTCCATTCAGCCCACATCTCTCCCAACATCGCCAAGCTTTTCCCAGCCATCTGGTGATGTGCAGGGGGATTAGGATTAAGAGGCGGGGGGGCAACCTCACCTCCCCTTCCAGTAAGTCTCCTCCATGCTGAGAGGTCAGTGCAAGGTGGGTCTGTTACCTCTGGTCCCCAGGAGCTGTTTGCAACCACTGCACCCATCATAGATCACCTTGCTGGCACAGGCAGACCTTGGGGGCTACAGTGTTTTCAGGAGGGTGGCCTTCATGAAACAAGCCTGCACCATGGTGCAGGAGTGGCGGGTGACACCTCGCAACAGGCAAGCCATTCCTGGTGGCACCCAGGCACGCAACTCTGGTTTGCAAAGTCTGTCCTCTCCTCCTCTCTCTTTCCATTCTGCCTCTTTTCTCCTCCCTCATGTCTCTGTGTGCGGCTGTCAGGGTGAGACAGTGGGGAGAGATGTGCTGCCAGGAGCCCTCTGCCTGCCACCACAGCCAGATCCTCACGGCTGTTCAGTCACTGAGTTCCCCCAGATCACGGGGGTATTGAGTGGTCTGGGGCAAGAGGGAAGCAGGGATCCCCCTCTGGCAGTGCTACACCAAGCTCTGAAGTGTAGGGTGTGGGCAGTGTCACTCCTGCCACTGCCTGCCCTGGAAGCTCAGCCCCTTCGCAAGGGCCGACCCTCCCAGCCTACCCAAAGCCACCTGCAATAGCTGGCTGGGCCCCCGGGAGCGAGCCTGGTCTGTGCAGGGGGCGCTGGGGCTGGGCCACCCCACCGAGGGTCAGGTGTTGGTGTCTGCACCGGGAAGGAGTCCCCCTGCCCCAGAGTGTCCCAGGCTCTCTGCAGAGGAGTGTGTCTCCAGGTAGCTTTGAGGAGCCTTAAGGGTTTGGTGTGCATGTGTGTGTGTGTGTGTGAGTGAGCACTCCTCTGTGAATGCGTGCGTGTGCCCTGCGTGTGCCGATGTGCATGCCGATGTTCTTGCCTCTCAGTTAGTGGGTGAATGGTGCTGGGCAGTGGTTTGCCTTCTACCAACACATGGGACTACCACTCTCAGTGCTCGCTCCCAGCAAACCTGCACTGGCTTTGTCTTGGTGTCCAAGCAGTCATGCTGAGAGCACCCCAGCTTGCTGGGGACGA